GTAGCCTTCAATTTTGTTTGGTTACTAGAGCTATCAATAGAAAATCAGTCCTCTTCTGCCACACTCGCCTGTCACATCCTGTTTTAAGAGGCATGCAATGGGGGAGTTTGTGGGTAATGAAATTTGATAGTGTAACATGAGCTGCACATTCCCTGAGTGATTTACAACTTATAATGGTGCAGATAGTAGTTAGACATGGTTCAAAGAGCAATCAAAGGGCAATAAAACAATATAATTTAATTATAACTAGATGTATACTGTTGTGAGTTTAAAGCTACTTAGGATAAATGAATGTAGTTTCACACTACCTACATTTGAAGTCATTCTAGAAAGAAAGAGGGTAATTTAGATTTTAGATTTATTTAGATTTTTTTCTTTGGGGGGGGTATGAGGTCAATCAAATTGACCAACCTTGTATAGGGTAGTGAAAACAACAGATAAAATATAAAGTTTTACTGGAAACAAACATTTGATGTTTTTAGGAGGTTTTAGAGAATACACAAATGAAATTTGAGATTTTTGAGATCAAAAAAAGTATTTTTAATCTTAACATGAAAATTGCTTTGCACATGGACTATTCAAAACAAATACTCAATATATTCATGGACAAATGTTTATTTTAGTTTATTAAAAATATTTCACTAAAAATATGATTTTTTGTATGTGAAAGACTTATAATGTTAACTGAATGACTGCCAAATTTTGTGAAGATATACATACTACATTGAAAGTTAGAAGTATTAAATCTATAAAAACTTTAAATGAGTACAAAGAGGTCACGTGGTCGGTCAGATTGACCTAGCCCGTTTTGAGAGAGTTAAATGGTCATAATCAACTTCAATAATTTTTTTAACACTAGCCAAAAATAAAAGGGTATATTATTATCAGAAAATACATGAATCATTACTTCATGATAAATAAAAGTAATTTATAATTTCACTGTAAACAATTTGTCTAATTTAATGTAACTAAAGCAATGGGATATTTCTTACATAGTTTGTTTACTGGCTCATGGTAGAAGAATAAAGAAATTCCTTTTGTATTTCACTCACTATTAAAAACAACATACTTTGTGAAATTTTAGTTGCATTATATTCATTATAACCAGGAGATAATGACATTATTTTCCATGTTTGCATAAATAAACAAATTGAAGAAAGCATATTTAAAAAAATAAGCAAAACAGGTATACTTTGATTAAATAATAATGTTAATAAGTTGTTGTACCAAAATGTATATAGTTGAAAGTAGTTTATTGCTTGACTGTACAGGTTTTGCAAGTAAGCACATCAAATGAATTCTAGGAGAAAAGTATTAGAATAAAAGCTCAGTGAGATCTTTTTTACACCATGCACCAAAGGTGTACTATAACTTCTATTAATGATTGATCTTTGTTAATTTTTGTTACTTATAAATCTTTAAGTATATAGTCTTATTTTAGTAATATTTAAATACTTAGACCTAAAGTTGGTATTACTAAGAGAAAAAAAAAAAATTGGCTGAATAGTATATTTCTAGCTGACACAGTGAAGTGATAGTCATTTAGAAGACTATCAGCTTTGACCATTAAAATAACACAGTTGTTTAGTTTAGTTAGTTTAGAATGTGCTTCTTCTGTTCATTATAAAGATGTCCAGTAGCAATGTTAGAGAGAATTGTAGACATTTCTTATAGACAGAGGATATGGGAAGGGTGTGCCATAATGGTTGAACATATATATGGTGATACCTCAGTAAAGCAAGAATAGATCGAAATTGTATATCATGGCTTTTTAATATCTATAGTATGTGTTTTTAATTAACTAGATAATCTGAATCACTTATAAGTGAGAAGATAGAGCACCATTGCATCATGTGACTTAAAGGTGCAACTTAAGAATTTATTTAAGCATTTCCTTTTGAAATCAAGAAACTAAAACTTATGTAATATAAAAACTTGATTCATAAACCATGTGCTGATGCCAATTAAATTTAGATGTTACTCTTTAAAGAGGTTGTGTCATGTACACTTTGATCCTCCCATGTCTGTAGGGTTAAGCAGTAATGATAACCAGTTACTAAAAACATACTCAAAATTCATTAAACAGTTCCTGTAATTGTTATATGTTTAATTTTAAAAGGTTGTATTTATGGATTTATAACTTCCTATTCTGTATTTACCACTGTTATAGTGTGTTCAAGCTATATTTTTCTGCTCTAATACTTAAGCAGTTGAAGCATGTTTTGTAGTCTTAATGGAGATCTAATTTTACATGAGTGAAAAATATAACATGCATTTCAAATAAGGACCAGGTATTGTTTATTTATATAATTTTGCTTTATATTTGTATGTAAATATTTTTGCTTCTATGCAGTTATTGTATACTGTAAACTTCTCAGATATTAGAATATTAAGATTTTTGGTCTGTGCAATCTTTCTTTTATCTGTTTCCTTTTTTTTTCAGATTTAGACAAAAAGAAGAAAAACAAACAAGTATGCTCTAAACGTACAAATTTTTTTATCAAAGATAAAGGTCAAGGTAACAGGAATACATTGAACAGTCGGTCATGTCAAGTAAAGAATGTAAATAAGAAAAAGAATGAAGATAAAGATACAGGTCAACAAATTCTGCCTGTCAATAATAATTTTACAAAGCTTAAAAACATTAATCTTTCATGTATAAAATCCAGAATTAGTGTTGAGAATGGTAGAAACAAATTTTCTCATAATGGAATGAAAGAATTTGATGGAGCTTTGCAAGCAAGTAAGAAAGACCATAGGGTCCATAATATTAATGCTAGTATTGAGAAAGTGTATCTTCAAACATCATCATCATCTGAACAGTCTAGTGAGGAAGAAAGCTCTAATCAGAACTCTTCTGATGATTCTGACAGTGATAGTTCAGATAAAACTGTTCTACCACAAATACCAGATTTAAAAAATTGCCATTCCTCATCTATTGAACAGAAAGACTGTTCTGTTAGAACATCATCTATGGTTCTCCACTTTGATTCTCATTTGGAAAATGGATCATCATTAGAGAGAAATACTTATAATAAATCATTAAAAGAAAATATTAATAATTGTGATTCAATGTGTGCTTTAGATAAGTTAGAGAGTTCAAACTCTAACTATGTTATTAAATTTGTTATGGACACCAAAGAACAACCTCATCATGATCATAGTTATACTTCAATTATGGGAAAGAAAAGAGGAATGGTAGCATTTGATTTTGAATTTATGTCTTCCGAAGAAGATGAAACTACACAAAAGGAAGACACAGACAGTTTAAATTTTCATGCAACACATTTGATCATTGCCACTCCATCATTTCCTTTTGTTTATGTGCCATTGTTGCCCAATGTTTCAGAAGTACTAGAAATACACTCTTCACAGTTTTCCAAAGCTGTCTCTACCCAGGGTAAATATTTAGCATGTTGAATCTATTTTTTAAATGAATATAAAATATTATTTTGCACTGGTTAAGGGTAGTTTACAAATATACTTGTATATAGATAAGTTAAATGTAAATTCAGGTATATTGTAAAGAGCATACACATGCATGGGTGTATGTATAAATGTAGATAAGCTACTCCAAAAATATGAAAGGGAGAAGATTTTATTATTAAATTCTTTATCAACCTAATGAACATCAGAGATAAGATTATTTTACAATCACTCTATTTATTCACTGAATACAGTTAATAAATAAGTTTCATCTACATTCCTTGTCCCAATCTTTTCAGTATAAATTCTTTCAAGTTGGTCTGACTGAATAACTTGTCGAATGTTTTGTAGTTGGCTTAAGTGTTAATGCAAATTGTATTCAAGGAGATCTCAGAGGTGTTCTATGGAAATTAGGTCAGGACTTTATTCTTGTCAATTAATGACTTTTATAGTTTCTTGTTTGAGGTAGTCTGTCACGATCATAGCATTGTAACAATGGACATAGCCTAAACCAAGACCAACTGCTGATTGCATTTGCAAAAGGGTGTGCAATAAAAATAGGTCCAATGTCATATAAATATATTGTTAAAAAGTAAATCTGCTTCACAAAAGCAAAATAAGATTACTACGACCAATAATGCTGATGTTTTGTCATACCATAACTAAACTGCCATTGAAAATTCAATTGTGTTACACTGAGCATATTTAAGTCTAGCCTTCCGGGCATAACCCCATTCATCATTATTAGAATCGTGAAACATGACTGACCTGTGAAGAGTATGGTTACTGATATTTATTATTTATTCACTGCTGTTCTGAAATCAAATTAAGTCTTATAAATTCTAAAGTTATTTGGTGCTGATAAGTCATTTTGTCTTAATCAGACTGTAATGTGCAGATTAGTTGTTTGCAGTGACATGAATCTCAAAAGACCCTGGAATAAAATGTATTGTTGAACTCGCTTTACACCAACCAGTGAAAACATTTTTCACATTTCAGAATATTTTCCCGTTAATTTCAATATTTAAAATATCAATTATGGGTGCCTATTCTCTGGGGCAGCTGCCCTACCTATTCATGTGCCACTGGTTGTCTCATAACATTTATGTTTATTTCCTACCGTACTTTTGTAAAATATCTTTACTTGCTATCAACATTATCAGTTCATATACTGAAACAATATAACCAAAATTGATGCATTCATTAAAACAAAAAATCCGTAAATGATCAAATTTAAATATGAAATGAGGGTATTGTCATTCTATGGCAGGTAGCTAGTGCAAAATATGCCACTGCAAACACTTATTCTCATAACATGATGTAAAATCTTGGTGCAAAATAGAAAAATATATGGCATGCCTTCTTTGGAAATCTTTGCAGGTTAGATTTGAAATGATCTATCAAGGTGCTTTCTTAACCCTTTAAAATCTGTTGTTGATACCACCTTTAGCCTTGCACTGTATCTGAAACCTATAGACATCAAACACTTGGCATGGTAACTGTAACACTTTTTAAAATGTCAATTTCTGTTTTATAATAAAATAAAAACTACGACATAACATAACTATTTACTTTGCCATTACACATGATCCATGTAACTGTTAACTTCAAAGCCAATTTTCATACCTATACCACAGTAAACCTAATGACATCAAGAGCTCAGAACACTTCATAACATAACTATTTACTTTGCCATTACACATGATCCATGTAACTGTTAACTTCAAAGCCAGTTTTCATACATATACCATAGTAAACCTAATGACATCAAGAGCTAAGACACTTTGTTGAAAGAAATGGAACAATAAAAAATTGTGTAAAGTATTAAAACTAATGTAAATAGATTGTATTTATCACAGTATTTTATACATAAAGCATATTTATGTCCTCCTTGTACTGATTTATCAATATGTGTTCAAAATTGTAATATCTCTGTACCTTTGTCCAAGTGGGAAATATAATACTAGCATTGATCAACTTGATGATGGCCTGAAGTTAACATAACATAATGTTTAGGAACAACAAGTGACTTATTGGTTCATCTTGGCTGTCCCATTTTCTAAATTACACTAAAACTATTAAATATATTAAGTAAAAAGATAAATAATAATCTTAAAGCCAGCCCTTATTACTCATATAATTATTTAGCTTTCTCTTAAACTCATTTAAATTTACTGCCTCCACAGCATCTGAAGGCAACCTTTTCCAGAGGCCAACCACTCTGATAGAAAAATAAAACTGTCATAGCTGAAGATGACTCCTACTTTGCCAAAATTTATATTTGTGTCCCCTAGTCCTACTATTCTCACCTTTTATGAAAAAAAAATTATGCATCAACACTATCAATTCCCTTTACAATCTTGAACACATCAATCAGATCCCCTTAACTCTTCATTTTTCAAGAGAAAACAATTTTAGAGATCTTAATCTCTCGTCATATGACAACCCCTCCATCTCAGGCACCATTATAGTAACCCTCCTATGAAGAGAATTACTTTAGTAATGAACATGAAGGGAAATTCTTTCTGTGGCTTACAAATAATAGAAAACCATTACTGTTGTACAAGTCACACTTAGCATCAAGACGTCTGGTACATTGTAAGAAATGTAATGATTTCCACCATCTAAAATCAAAAATTAGGACTAGCAGTTTTTATTTTTTTAATTATTTCATTCAAAACACATGTTAATAAAACTTGCATGGAAAGAAACCATAAAGTCTCAACATTTTAGTTATTATTTTATTTTGGAGGTAATTTGAAGGAATGGCTCACACATAATTTTTCAAAGCTTGATGTCATCATTTTGCCTTTGTAATAACCTAAATCTCTAGGTTGGAAAGGGTTAAATCTGTTTTTACAAAGCAAATGCACATATTATCATTGGACATAGAAAAGAGATACAGTTTCTTTGTGGAGCTAATTTGTATGTATTGCTTTAGTTTTTTCTTGGTATGGCTTATGTGTGGTATGATGGTTGTGGATTGAAAGATCAAAAGCTTATGTGTTAGCATTGCTGAAAACATGCTGCACGTTCAGCTGAGGGTGTAGGATAAGAGTGACAGTCAATCTTGTTGTTTGGCTCATAATTGGTCAAAGTCCTATTGCCATCAGATGTTACTGGCTGACTGCCTTCCCATGGGTCAGTAGTGACACCTGTACCTGACCCATAGGTGTTTCTGACATGGCTGCTTAGCCCTTTAACACATAAGATGTTGAGCAGATTGAAAATACCATATACTTGTTATGCTTTGATGTACAATCTGTAAAAATGTATCTCCACATATGATAATAATTAGTATTATATTAGGAGCCGTGTGTATGAGTTGATAACAGAAGGATTTTGTGAAACAATGAAATGATTGATAGGATAGATGGCCTCTGTATATTTTATACATCTTCATATATTAATTCAAATTATGCTGTTTTTGATTTGTTTAATGCAGTTTTTCAAATAGTATTTGAAAGTTGCAATGTTTCCATTATAAGATATAGCAGTTTTTACAAATTTAGAAAAAAAACTTCATGAAGTCATACTTGTATTTTGTATGTGCTTGTCCATTTAGAATTGGGCCAGAATAGTTTAAAATCAATTGTTATACATTACATATTCAAAAAGTATTACACTACAAATTTATTTTAAAATACCAGTGATGAAAAGGCTTAGAAGTAATATGTAATTTTTTTGTCTACAAAATGTTTCATTGGAATACAGTTAAATAAATAAGAAAATGTGTATGTATTCATGATAAATTATTGTTTTTACCTAAGCCAGTGTTGCTGTATGTACACACAACTGCATACAAATGCACTAAACAATAATTGGAAGTTCCACTGTTGACTTTACATGTATCAAAGTTACATAGATCATTGGTGTAAAAATTCTGCTAGACCACCACCTGTTACTATTAAAGCTTACGTTTAGACTACCATGAATTCCTTGTGTACTAGCCTGAGTCCAGTGGAATTCTACTTGCATGAAATGTTGTAAAATCCAAGCCCATATTTAAGTATTAAAATTTATAATTTTGTTATTTTTCTTTCAAATTGGTAAATATTTACTGTCACTAAAAGTTTTGTAAGATTGGTAGCCTGTGTGACTAAGTTACAGCTTGTAAGTTAAAAAGTCCATTTATTTAGTTTCATGTTTATAACTTTCTAATTTATGTAATTATTTTTGCCTGGATTTAAATAGTTGTTTTTAATGCAAACTGTTACTGGGACAAGATGAAATTGTTGTGTTTGGGAGAAATGACTCGAACTTGGAAATATGCAGCTTTTTCTAGGTATGATGGAAAATAAAATGTATTCCAAATGTTAGATAACCATGTGGTTATTTTGAATTCATTTTACTTGTAAGTTGAATAACTTGCCAGAGATTTTACATCTGCATCACATATGATATAGTGAAAAGTATAATTTTTAGTTTAGTAACACTATGGGTGAAGTCGTTTCAATGAATATAGATGTGCTTATATTTGCTGTGTGTATATAATAATTTAGTCATTACAATGAAAAAAAAAATTGCACTAATAAAAATTTCAGTTTGGAGTAGTACATTTCGAATGTGTTCTAGCCAGAGGGTGTTTCATCAAAAGTTTTTACATCCCTGATGCATGGTTATATTATAGTGTATGAATGCATGAAATATTTAGTGTGTATATTTTATTGGTTTCTTCACAAAAATATGATTTTATATTCTTTGCAAGTATGCTTGCTGCTTTCATGCAAATTGTGTAATTTATGTTTTAAGTATTTGATAAACTTTTGTTGACTAAAGGTTTTACTTTTATACATTTTCGTGATTCAGTTTAATATCAGGCAACATTTTAGATTGTGTCATCTGACAAGATATTTCCATTGTTCTGCTTTCATTTTATTTACAAACCACAAATTACACCAATGAAATGATATAAAAGAGAATATCAGTCTGAAATTTCTTTTTTACCTGATAACATTTATACTTGAAATTGTACTTGCATGTAAGAAATAGTGTTTGTGAATATAACAAATACGTATTTAATTGTAAGTGTATGTTTTTATTTGTTAAGTGATCATTCTTGCAAATTGTATGTTTTTTCTAGGATTTTATGATGCAGAAGACAGTACAAAAAACTATGATGTAATTTCACTCAAAGGTTCTACATCTAATAGTTCCTCAAGTGATAAATGTCAAATGAATAGGCTCTCTCCCATGGAGAAAACAATTATTCCACAAGAAGTCACACTACAGAATAAAGAAGAAAACAATAATAATTTTTCACTAAGTGAAAGTGACCCAAGAACTGAAAATGTTGTTGAGATTACTGATACATATCCTTCAACCAAGGAAAAATATCAGAACAAAACAAAGAAACATAAAAATGCAGGACAAGCTACTCCAGAATGGGAAAAGGTGATACTTCTTACTTGTCATTTATTTGTTAAGCAATAATGTGATGTTAATTAGATAATACTGAGACTTTTCACGGCACATATTTTTGAAAAAATTACTTATTTTAAGGTAGAAGTGACTAGTCATTTTTCAATAATAACTTCTGCAGTTAAATCTGATTATTTATTTTTTCTTTTTCAATTACTTCAAATGTTATATTACATCAGAAAAATCAAGATTTTCATTTCAGTACAACTTATCTTGTCATTAGTCAGTGGCATTCCACTGTATTTAGTACATGTATATGCAGCTTTCAGGTAAACTAGCATTTCTGTAATTTTCAGAACAACTAAAAAAAAATTCTACTTAAATGATAATTTCTTAGTGACAGCTATGAATCCATAAGTTTCACAATATTTATTCTCTCCTTTATTTATGAAAAATAGTCAAATGACTAAGAGATCAAGATTTTATTTTTAATTGCAACATAAGTTACAAGGGATGAATAATTTTTATGTCCTGATGTGATGATCCACTATTCGGTACTATTAACGCTAACTGAACTCTGATGTCAATTCTTAAAGTAATATGAGTATGTTTGCTTATGACACAATTGTCATTATCAGAAAAGTACTGATTAGAGTATAATCGTTGTAAATGTTTTGTGAAAAAAATCAGTTTGTCCTTCCTATGTTTTTAATTTAATTAATCTAGTACCTTTTTTGTTTTAGTACATGGTATATATATAAGTAAACTTGCTGTGAAAGTTGTTTTGGCACTTTAAATTTGAAAATAAATTTTTGTTTTTTTTCACTCTAAATAGTTAACCTTTACATTAATGTACTTGTAATTGCTTATAAACCTGCATAACTATAGTAATGGAAATAATTATGGAAACACAGTGGCTATATATATGTACACAGGAGTCACAATTAATGCATGAAGGTAACTACATGGTCAAATTATTAATGGTGCAAAATATCATCACAGTGAATACAAAAGAAAATCCGTTGACTTGTACAATGCACTAACATTTTCATGAACACAACATTAAACCTTGTTTTCATTCTGTCGTATAGTTTTATTAATGCACTGTTGTAAAATGTTGTTCCAAATGTCCTGTATTACTCATGATTCAACCAATTTCTTTAGTTACGCTTTAACCTTCTCAGTTTTTAAAGCCATACTAATATTTATAATAGTTTATGCAGGCCAAGCTGTGGTTGTGAGTGTTCCATCAGTGTTTTTATTGTCAATATATCGTTTCACGATATTTACTGTATGCTTGGGATCATTGGTTTACTGGAAGATAAAACCGCATGTGATGAATTGTCATATCTATGTGTACTTACTAGAAATCAGAGTGTCATCAGTTTTGTGTAGAATACTGACACTGTTGACTGAGATACACCCCCAAAATTGTACTGATTTCCTCCACCATGATTCACTATAGCTGTTGTACATTGACTCTGATAACATTCTCCTCTCTGCTATCAAGCAAAGTGTCATTGATTATTGCTAAACAGTTTGAACATAGATCCATATCTAAAAAGTATATATCCTCACTTACTCTTCTTGGGGTAATGTTCTTGCTTTTATTTATATCAAAGTCTTGGCAAGATATGTAATCTGCTCTTGTCTGTCTTGTAAAGAACATACTCTGAGATTTTAACATCACTTTTGGAGAGATTCAGTTTTTTACCTTGACCACTTTAAGGTTGAAAATTTACCATATAATGCTTGAAAAACACAAGTAGAATACTAATGCAAGTAAAGTGTGATAGCAACTTGTGTTGTGTGCAAGTAAATCCTACAACCAAGATATTTCACAAAATTTACAAAATCAGTCAACATACAGCTGACAAGCCACAATATTTACCACCATTTGCTGTTTATGAGGAGCATTGTATGAAGTGCCACTTGTGATTAGTCAGTACTCACAAGAGCAGGTAATCATATGTCTCATTTCACATGGTGGAAATCATCTTCACACAATATGGGCACCAGCAGATGTATTTTTCCAACAGACTTTAATGTATGAAGTTGAAGAAGAACCATAATGTTGAAACAAAAAAAATCATTTAAAAGCAGCAAACAGTGGTGATTTAAGAATATTCAAGAAAACTGTTGGAAAAGAAAGTAAGGTAAGTATGACAAAATAGAAATTAATAATAAATTTAACCTGTTAAATTGACTCATATACATGCAATACATGCACACACATATATACACTACCAGTAATTTTTAAGGCTGTGTTTAAGTATACTGGAAAACGAGTAAGGAAGACAAGGCAGGCAATTAGGAAGAACATGAAATTGGATTTTAAGTATGACCTTGTGAGCATGCTTACGATGCTTATCGTTGATCAGTTGTTGTTTATTTCTGTTGAACTCCTATCTTCTACGGATACAAGGTTAGGCTTAAATTTATTGTTCACTCTGCTGATCTTTCTGCAGTCTTTTTTTTCCAATATTATGTTATTTCTTCATATGCTTTAAACTTTCTCTTTACAGAGAAATTATATTTTCTCTTGATTTTCATGTAGGTTTTTTGTGCATGTTTGCAGACTGCAGTGTTAGAACATTTGGGGTTCTGTTCCACTCTTGGTTGCCTCTTTTTAGAAAATTAATTGCAACAGAAAAAAGGTAGAAGGCTTAATGTTAGTTTTGTTTTTTGGGTATAGAGTTTGTTTTAGTTATGAAGTTAATGACACTTTAAATTTTATGGCATAGGTAAAATGTTATCTCTATTTATGGCAGGTGCAGGTATGGCTTTTTGTTAATTCAAACTTTGACATTCTTTTATTAACAGTGCTAGTTTCACATACCATTTTCAAAGTCTTGCATACAGCTCCTACTGAAACATTGACATTTGCCACAATTATATGAATGGAATATCCTTGGCTAGCCAAAAGTTTTAATTTTTCATGCTTGTCTTATAGTATTTCATTCCTGGCAGCCTCGACTGAATTCATACTAGTGCTACTACCTGTATTTTATAGGCTTTTTTGGTTAGATGACAATCAGTCACAGTGTAAACTATCATCACATAACTAAGATGATGCAGTTGGTTTTTAGACAGTAATATTTGTCTTTCATACCCAAATTCCTCATGATTTCTATAATTATTTCCAGTATTCTGTATATCTTAAAAACCATATTTTACCAAAATTGCTTTTCAATGCAGAAAGGAAAATTTATATTTGGACATTCTCTACTGCTTTTAAGACTTCATAAACTATTTTAACTGTCATTTAGTAGAAAGCAATAATAATATATTTTTTTAACTTTATCGCCGTAGAAGTTAGCCTTGAAGTGTATTAGAGCTCTACGAGTCAAGAAAAAAGAAGAAAGAGGACCTCTTGTATGCCAGATTTGTAAAGACAAAACATTTACTGCACAAGCAACCTTGATGTATCATTATAGAAGTCATGCAGGTAAGTAAACAGGAGATTATCAAAATTTAGAATAGTAAAAGTAGAACTGGTAAAACACATTTAGTGTTAGTTTCTTTCTGAGAAACAGAAAATATAAGGTCTTTAAAGTACTAAATTATTAAAAAAAAGGAAGCATTTTCATAAAAAAGCTTTAGATTTATTAGCATGTCCTCTGTTGTCAGTAAGGTGTTTGAATACATTTCTTAAAATCATTTGGAAAAGCATGTGGAAAGTTAGCCTTCAATAAATGAAGCTAAACATGATTTTAGAAGTTATATTTCTATGCAACAGTTTATTTGAGTTTATAAAAAATAACAAAAAGATGAGCTTTTATGGTTGAAGGCACCTTAGTTAATGCGTAATTTTTTGACTATCATACAAAATGTTCATTAGTAGATTATATTCATACAGAACTGGGGAAAGTGTTAACATAATAGAGAAAATTGTCTTGGTGGTAGAAAACAGGCATTTTTTTTCAAATATAAGAATGTGATCAGTTAGATTTCAGGACTTCATTTGTTCACTATTTATGTCAGTAATTTGATAGCCTGTTGGAATGTAATTTTTCTAAATTCCATTATGATATATATACACCTGGAAAAAAGTTAAGCACCCCCGTGTTTTTTTCAAGTGATTCAGATTCGACGTTCTTGTGACTGATTATAAATTACCATTCAATCTAAACGTGTTTATCAAATGAAATTATGCATTATTGGGCACAAG